AGAACAAGGCCTGGAGATATAGAACACCCTGAAACACCCCACTCTGATAGCTGCTGCCTGTGACGCTGAGCACCCACCTTACTTTCTTTTCTGAATTTCAATTGCCTTCCTTTGTAATTTGAAGACAATAACCATTCCAGGACCTAGCCTGTAGAGCCTGGCACATAGTAGGGGCTCAGTAGACATTTAGGGAAATAATAACTATCCCACTGGGTTATCATGAGGATTAAATGAGATAATGAATGTCAAGTATTTCCCATAGAACCTAGTGTATACTAGTTACTCAATAAAAGTAGCTATTCCTGACTATTTGATCATGACTAGTATAGTAGTCCCCTCTTATCTGTGGTTTTGCTTCCTGATGTTTCAGTTACCTGTGGTTAACTGTAGTCAGAAAATATTATATACAATAAGATGTTTTGAGAGAGAAAGAGCACAGTTACATAAATTTTATTTATTTATTTTTACTTTTTTTTTGAGACAGAGTCTCGCTCTGTCGCTCAGGCTGGAGTGCAGTGGCGTGATCTCGGCTCACTGCAAGCTCCACCTCCCAGGTTCATGCCATTCTCCAGCCTCAGCCTCCTGAGTGGCTAGGACTACGGGCGCCCACCACACCCAGCTAATGTTTTTTTATTTTTAGTAGAGACGGGTTTTCACCGTGTTGGCCAGGATGGTCTCGATCTCCTGACCTCGTGATCCACCTGCCTTGGCCTCTCAAAGTGCTGGGATTACAGGTGTGAGCTACTGCGCCCAGCCATAAATTTGATTACAGTCTATTGTTATAATTGTTCTATTTTATTATTATTGTTTATTTCTTACTGTGCCTAATTTATATATTAAACTTTATTATAGGTATGTATAAATAGGAAAAACATGGTATATATAGAGTTTGGTACTATTTGGGGTTTCAGGCATACACTAGGATAAGGGAGGATGACTGTATTTAGAAATATATGCATATAGGCCGGGCGCGGTGGCTCAAGCCTGTAATCCCAGCACTTTGGGAGGCCGAGACGGGTGGATCACAAGGTCAGGAGATCGAGACCATCCTGGCTAGCATGGTGAAACCCCGTCTCTACTAAAAAAATACAAAAAACTAGCCGGGCGCCGTGGCGGGCGCCTGTAGTCCCAGCTACTCGGGAGGCTGAGGCAGGAGAATGGCGTGAACCCGGGAGGCGGAGCTTGCAGTGAGCTGAGATCCGGCCACAGCACTCCAACCTGGGCGACAGAGCGAGACTCCGTCTCAAAAAAAAAAAAAAAAAAAAAAAGAAATATATGCATATAGAATACTATAGTTGGTTAGGAATCAAAAAAACCTGAATTCAAATCCCAATTCCATCTTTTTTTTTTTTTTTTTTTTTTTTGAGACAGAGTCTCGCTCTGTCGCCCAGGCTGGGGTGCAGTGGCGCAATCTTGGCTCACTCCCGGGCTGGGGTGCAGTGGCGCAATCTTGGCTCACTCCCGGGTTCAAGTGATTCTCCTGCCTCAGCCTCCTGAGTAGCTGGGACTACAGGCACCCGCCACAACGCCCGGCTAATTTTTTAAATACTTTTAGTAGAGACGGGGTTTCACCGTGTTAGTCAGGATGGTCTTGATCTCCTGACCTCGTGATCCACCCGCCTTGGCCTCCCAAAGTGCTGGGATTATAGGCGTGAGCCACTGCACCCGGCCCCATCTTTTTTTTATTAAAACTTAAAAAAAAATAGAGATAGGGTCTCACTGTGTTGTCCAGGCTGGTCTCTAACTCCTGGGTTCAAGCGATCCTCCTGCTTTGGCCTTTCAAAGTGTTGGGATTACAGGTGTGAGTCACTGTGCCCAGACCCAGTTTCATTATTTTAACATAGAAAAAGCTACTAGATTTAGGATAAAGAGATTCAGGTATGAGACCTGGCTCTGTTAGACTCTGCTGTGTGACTTTGGATAAGGAACTTTACTTTTCTTTTTCTTTTTTTTCTTTTCTTTTTCTTTTTTTTGAAATAGAGTTTTGCTTTGTCACCCAGGCTGGAGTGCAGTGGGGGTAGTCTTGGTTTACTGCAAGCTCTGCCTCCTGGGTTCAAGCAATTTTCGTGCCTCAGCCTCCTGAGTAGCTTGGATTACAGGTATGCGCCACTACGCCCAGCTAATTTTTGTATTTTTAGTAGAGACGGGGTTTCACAATGTTGACCAGGCTGGTCTCGAACTCATGACCTCAGGTGATATGCCCGCCTCAGCCTCCCAAAGTGCTGGGATTACAGGTTTGAGCCACCGTGCCCAGGCGGGAACTTTACTTTTCTGAACTTTGGTTTCTTCATCTGCAAAACAAGGAAAATGAGTAATCATTATGATTCCTTTTTCCAGTTCTAATAGCTTCTAAGTGTAAGATGTTGTCTCGGCCAGGCATGGTGGCTAACGCTTGTAATCCCAGCACTTTGGGAGGCTGAGTTGGGCAGATCACCTGAGGTCAGGAGTTTCAGACCAGCCTGGCCATTATGGTGAAACCCCGTTGCTACTAAAAATACAAAAATTCGTCGGGTGTAGTGGCAGGCGCCTGTAATTCCAGCTACTCAGGAGGCTGAAGCAGGAGAATTGCTTGAACCCGGGAGGCGGAGGTTGCAGTGAGCTGAGATCCCGCCACTGCACTCCAGCCTGGGCGACAGAGTGAGAGTCAAAAAAAAAAAAAGATGTTGTTTCACACAGGTCTCTTACTTTCTCTGGCCCTAGTTTGCCTCTCTCTGGGGGCAGGACCAGGGTAGGTAGATCTCAGTACCCCTCCACTCTCTACACAGCAGGGCCTGGCTATGCTTGTTCAACCCTGTCTCTGACTGCTGAGTAGCATGAACGAGTTTCTTGTCCACATAGTGCCAGCGTACCCTCACAAGTTCTCAGGGGTCAGGGAAGGGTACTTCTCTACCTCCAATTACAAAAAGAACGACTAACAATAATAATTATGTCCCCTATTAACAAAGTTTAGAGAGGGTCTAGAGTGAATAATCTCTTCAGGTAATATTTATCAATAAATTTTAAAAAATAAAGCTGTGCATGGTGGCACGTGCCTGTGGTCCTAGCTACTTTGGAGGCTGAGGTAGGAGGATAGCTTGAGCCCAGGAGTTTGAGGCTGCAGTAAGCCATGATCACACCACTGCACTCCAGTCTGGGTGACAGACTTTATCTCTTCAAATAAATAAATAGTGCATTCCAGTGGCAATGTGCAAAAATTTACCTTCTGATTAAGAGTACATGTAATGCACTTAGTAGATTCCTGGTGTAATTCATTGAGTAACATTACCTTCCTTGGTAGCTCTTTTGAAGTACTGGCTTGTCTATAAAATTTACACAGCACTTTGACTAACATTGTCTCACTTGACCCTTCACAGGAGCTCAGAGGGTGGAAGCAAGTCAGGCATTATTTACCCCCATTTTTCCGCCAGGAGAGGGGTCCAGGGAAGTGCGGTTAGCTGGCCAAGGTTTGGAGGCTGCATAACCCAAGAGTTGGAATTAGACATGGTATTACCTGGCTATCCCTACCAGTACTTCTACCCTATACAGGTTACAACAATCCTACAGCTCAGCCTTGCTGGCTGGGGCAGTTCCAAGAGGCTTTTCATTCAGTCTTCTCCTAGATCCAGCAGGTTGTGTGCTCTAATTCTTGTTTTGGAGATGGCCAACATTCCAGGCTGTTATGTTATGTGAGCACGTGGGATCACAGCCAGTCAGAAGCCAGGACTTCTCTAAGTGAAGTCATAAGCACCAAAGGGATCTTGCTAGACACACAGATTTCTGGGTCCAGTCCCAGACCGAGCCTGATTCCTTATACTTTGGCATGTGCGTTCAAAGAAGTCTTCCCTTATCACCCAAACAAAAGTAGCCCACCTAGTTTAACTGATTACCACAATTTAACTATTGTCTTCATAGATACTAGACAATAATTTATCACTTTTTTATTGTCTCTTTCCCCACCTTAGAATAAATTCCATGAGGATAGGGACTTCGTTAGCCTGGTTTATACCAAACCCGTTTCCTAGAACCCTGCAAGGCCCCCACAGTACGAGGTCAGTAAGTATTTATTGACTAGAATGTACATTGAAGTTTGAAACTGCTGTCATACGTTGTTCCTTCATTTTACAATAGTGAAACTGAGGTCCACGAAGCTGGAAGTCACTGCTGCAGATGGTAAGGGGCAGGGCCAGGATAAAACCTCAGATCTCAGAAGTCCCAATCCAGGGACGGTTCAACTCCGCCCAAAGCAATTCTTGAGGGAAAAAACGACATCCACTTAAAAGAAAAGACATTTTCTGCCCATAAATACAAGGTTTCGCGGTGGGGAGAAAGGCCTGGTCTGGGTGAGGGCTTTGGTAATTCCGTTCCCACTTCCTAGGCGCCCGCTGCCCTCAAGGGCTAAGGAATCGCCGTCCAGGCCCGGAGTCGAACCCATCTCCGGGTAGCGTCGAGGCCAGGCCCAGCGGCGGTGAAGCGCGGAGCACAACCCGCTGAGGTGCGGGCGGCTCACCCAACCAAGGTCACCCGGGCGGGGACCGAAGGGGCCAGGCCCGCCGCGCACAGGGGAAGGGGCAGCGTTGGTGGGTCCTCGGGACGGATGAGGGTCCTCCCTTCGGTCTCCCGGAAGTCAGGAATGACACTAATGGATCCTTCCCCTGAATCTGACACCCAGCCTAAAGAGCGCGAGCAGGCCCCGCCGCCCGCGTGGCCCGGTCCCATGTGCTCCACCTGAGGCCGCTCTCACGCGCTGGCCCTTTAAGACACCTCCCCTCCTCGCCCAGCCTTCTCTCCTATCCCCCTCTGCGCCCCCACCGACAACTCCCGAATTGCATCAGGCACGTGCTCGCCCCCGTCCGGTTTGAGCGTCCCTACCCCCAGCCCGGGAGGTGCTCTGAGGAATCGGAGACGAGGGGCGGGGCGAGGGGCAGGACCGCGGAGCCGTGCGCGCGCGCTCCCGCCGCCTCCTGCCCGCCCGTCGCCCAGGGCCCGGCCGGCGGGCGCGCCCCCGCTGCGCCGTCCCCCCTCGCCCGCCGCGTCGTGAGGCGCGCGCCCGCCCGCCGCCTGCCGCGGATCGCGTGGTCTGCTCGGCTCGCCGCGCCTCTCCCCCGTCCGTCCATATTGCTGCAGCCCCCGAGCCGGGAAGCCCGGGCCGCCCCGGGGGCGGGGGGGAGGGAGGGACGGGACTAGAAGCCTGCCGGGCTCGGGGTGGGGGCGTCTTGCGAGGAACGGGCGGGGGGGGACGCACGCCTAGGAGGCCTGGACCGCAGAGTGGGGGGCCTTCCTCCCCCCCCGCCCCGCTAGTGGGCCTCGGATTTACGGCGGCTGCATCTAACTGGGAGGGGGCCGCACCTCGCGTGAACCCCGACCCTTCTCCGCAGGGACTGGGGCCCGGCGCCCCGGAGGAAGGCGTCGCGGGCGCCGTGCTAGCCAAGTTCGAGGCGGGGGAGGCAGCTTCGGGCGCGCCCGGCTTCTCCGGGGGGGGCGGGCGCGCAGATGGCCACTCAGGTGGAGCCGCTCCTGCCTGGGGGCGCCCCGCTCTTGCAGGCCGAAGAGCACGGGGGGCTGGTGAGGAAGAAGCCGCCGCCGGCGCCCGAGGGCAAGGGCGAGCCCGGGGCGAACGACGTCCGCGGGGGGGAGCCGGACAGCGGCGCTCGGAGACCCCGGCCGCCCTGCGCCAAGCCGCTCAAGGAGGGCACCGGGCAGCAGGAGCGCGAGAGCCCGCGGCCGCTGCAGCTGCCCGGCGCCGAAGGCCCGGCCGTCAGCGACGGGGAGGAGGGCGGCGGCGAGCCAGGCGCTGGCGGAGGAGCTGCCGGAGCCGCGGGCGCGGGGCGCCGGGACTTCGTGGAAGCCCCCCCGCCCAAGGTGAACCCGTGGACTAAGAACGCATTGCAGCCGGTCCTGACCACCGTGAACGGACAGTCCCCCCCAGGTGGGTTTCCCTCCTTGCCCTCCTGGGCCCGGGGGCCTCTTCCGGGGACATGGGAGTCCCCTCCCCCAGCACCTCCAGGGCCCCGGGGTCCGCTACCGGTCATGGTGACTCGGGACTTTTTTAAATTGCCTCCTGGTTGATCCTGGTCGCCGCGCCCTCCCCCCACCGCACACTCAGGGATCTGCCCCTGCCCGAGGGCCCGGCCTCCGGGAGGCTACGGCCACCGCCTGGGCCTCAGCGGTTAGTGGGCAACGGTGTGATCCGGGCCTACCTCGTCGGCAGAGGGTGGGCGCTGGTTTCAGTGAAACGATCCCCACCGCATGCTGGTGTAGGAGACGGTTTCTGGTTTGAACCTTCCTTGGGAAGCCCCTCTTCCCACCCCGCCCGGCGCTCCCCGTTTTGGTAGCGTTGCGAGCGTCCCCATGTTGTAAATGTTTAATGAGCATATGTCACGGGCAACCCAGTGCCCGGCGCGGAGTACATGCCGGCCGCACGGATTCGGGGATTAAAAGTTAACAAGTTTTGTTCTCGGGGAGATGATATTGGGCGGTAGAATCGCCATTTGGAGACGGGTTGAAGGGTCAGTTATGGGGAGAAGAAACCCATCGTGTTACCGAATTCGGTGGTTTCCTTCCCCGATCCCGGGCACCTTCCGCCTTAAGAAGGAGCCCGACGGCGAGTGTGCTGGGGGAGCCAGTTAGGAGGTTGGCGGAAAATGTGAGGCGGGTGAGGGGCCTGCGGCGACTTGAGGGGCGTGTGGCGGCGGGGGAGGGAGTGGCCCGGCGGGCGGGCGGGTGACAGTTGGGCGCCATGCGCCGCGCCGGCGTCCCGCGGGTCGCTCGGCCTCGGCGTTCGGCGCGGGCCGCGGCGCTGGGGGTGGCAGGCGGGTGCGGGCCCGCGGCGCCGAGTGTGCGTGTGCGCGGCGCGGGTGTGTGCGCGTCCCCCCTTCCCGGCATTCCTCTGCAGCCGGGACAACGTGGTGCCTCCCCGCGCGGGGAGCGGCATGTGACTGCCGACCGGCGCTCCGCGAGTCCTCCCTCTCCCTCCTCCGCGTTTTGGTCCTTTTGGACCGTGCCCCTTTCCAGGGGGAGGTAAGGGTTGCAGGAAATCCCAGCAGAGCCGTGTCAGCGTGGGGAGAGAGGCGGTGCAGAATATGGAGTCTGCTCCTGGCCTGCCTTTGCCGAGAATAGATCGTCGGCTTGGATGGGGGGGCGCGCCCACTCTTTCCTCGGCCGGCGCATAGGGCGGGTCTCCATTCTTTGGTTTTGGGTCCGTTTGAGGTGGGTCGGTTTGAAACTGTCTTGTAGTTAGAATGATGGCCTCTGGTCGTAGCCCTGGTGCTTTTAAAAAAAACTCTCCTGCCGTAGCTGATTGAGGCTAACTGGTTTAAACCATTGAAAATAAAGGGGGTGCTTAATGCCTTTACAGTCAAAGAAGTAGAAGCACTGCTAGTCCTAGGGAAGCCAGAATAGCCAGTCCTAAAAACAGCATGTTGCAATTTTTATTTCTTTTCAGGTTGCTTCATTTGGAGGAGAGGACATTGGGGGTTTACTAACAGTCCCTCAAACTGTGTTCTCTTCCTTCTCCCCTCCTTCCCTTCCCCCCTTTCCCTTCCAGAGCCCTCTTATGCAAAAGACAGTGCTGAAACCTCCGTTTTCTTTCACATCCCTCCTATCCACCTACTGAATGAGGGAAAACAACTTTAGAACACTCTTTGGTCCTTCTCCACTCTTTAAACTCAAAAGGGTATAATCATCCCCGGGAGAGAGCACTCCTTTTAAATGGGGCTACTCATCCTGTCTGCTGCTTGGCTAATGGTGAACCTGCCTTGTGGGTTTTAAATCAGCCGTGACATCAGGTGGTATTGGGTGCCTGAGCTGGCATTTTGTGTAAGTCCAGGAGCCCTTGATAGTGTGCGTCACTGAGGCTATTGATCGTGGGAAGAAGACAGCTTGGCTGGCATCGCACCTTTTCCTCTGAGTGGAGAAGCTGACTTGCTTTAAGTGCCCAAAGCAAAATTCTCAGTAAGGGTAGATTTGCTCTGTTATTGTTTTTTGGAATCTTAAGGTAAGAGAGTGTCTACTCGTTGGTTTAGAACCTTTGGAATAGGTTTTGACAGCCTAACTCAAGTTAATTCCGTAGCTTCTCTCTCTAAGCTTGTTGTTAGGACTTGTGTGTATTTTGAGAGAGAATTCTGTGATTGGGCTGTCAGTCTGATGAGGCTGGATGGTGGCACTTTCTCTGGAGCCTACATGAATCTCTGAAGTGCTTTTCCAGCCCTGGTTTTATTTACAGCTTCGACCAATTTAAATGTGACACTAGTGGAGTGGCTGTGTGGTCTTGGGAATTTTTGTGTTCTGTGATGCATATGTTTTTGGGAGTCTACAGAAATGAGTACCTCATAAGCAAACTAAAAGCTTTCCAAAGCTTGCTGTAAATGCCTATTTTTAGCCTTACTTTTGGCTCAGATGTTGGTGTTTTAGTTCTTTAAAGGACACATGCAGTAACTAGTAATAAAATATGTTTTGTGATATCTCTCCTTTCTTGTGGGGTTCTGTATTCTGCTTTAAGCATCCAAGTCTTACATTTGTAGTTTTAAGTCTTGGGATTTGCATTTTGGTTTTTTAGATCTCCCTCCCTTCCCAGAGTATTTTTAAATGTTTAAAATTTTTGCCTTATCCTAGCCATACCCCTTCTAAGTATAAGGTCCAAGATGTCTAAGAGATGATATATAGCGAAAGTTCTGGGGTCAAACTGCGTGGGTTCAAATGCCAGCTCTACCACTTGTTAGCTGTGCCTCCTTGGGCAAGTTATTTAACCATTCTGTGCCTCACCTTCTTAATTTGTATAATAGGTATTTATGATTTACCTGCCTCATGGGGGTATTATGAGCATTCGTTGTTATGATAAGTGTATTTAGCCCATTGTTTGGCAGGTAAAAGTTGTTACTCTGGGTCTCTGCTTTTCTCTACCTGTAATATAATGGGGTTGCTGAATGCAGATCTTTTCTTTTGTTATATCAGTATTCCATGACATGTATGAGATCTGTCTCCTTAAAACTTGACTTTTGCTTATCCACAGACATGAAGGGCATGGGATGGATAATTTAAAGGTTGGTGACTCTTAAGAATTAGCTGTTTTTTGCTTCGGAATGTGGTGAGATGAATTTTTAAAAAATAAGTTTTAACTTTTTAATTTGCCTTTTGTGAAGATTTTCTTTTGGGGGGAGTTGCACGTGTGCTTTCAGGGATTTGAGGAAAAGTCAGCCTAACTGGACTGAAAGTTTGCTGTGGCTGGTACATGTGTAGTGCCGTGAGACTTGATAGTACAGATAGTCCCCAACTTATGATGGTTCAATTTGTGATTTTTTGACTGTATGTTGATGAGAAAGTGATACACATTTATTGGAAACTGTACTTCAGGTACCCATACAACCATGGTTTTTCACTTGCAGTATAGTATTCAATAAATTAATTACATGAGACATTCAACACTTAACATAGGCTTTATGTTAGATGCTTTGGCATCTGTAGGCTAATATCAGTGTTCTGAGTGCATTTAAGATAGGCTAGGCTAAGTTGTTTTATTATTATTATTTTTTTTTTTTGAGACAGTCTTGCTCTGTCGCCCAGGCTTGAGTGCAGTGGTATGATCTTGGCCCACTGCAACCTCCGCCTCCTGGCTTCAAGCGATTCTCCTGCCTCAGCCTCCTGAGTAGCTAGGACTACAGGTGTGCGCCACCGTGCCCAGCTAATTTTTGTATTTTTAGTAGAGATGGGGTTTCACCACGTTAACCAGGCTGGTCTTGAACTCCTGACCTTAGGCAGTCCGCCCACCTTGGGCTCCCAAAATGCTGGGATTACAGGTGTGAGCCATGGTGCCTGGTGCTAGGCTAAACTTTGATGTTCAGTAGGTTAGGTGTATTGAATGCATTTTCAATTTAATTATGTTTATTTATTTTTTAGACAGGGTCTCACTGTCACCCAGGCTGGAGTGTAGTGGCACAATCATAGCTCACTGCAGTCTCAAACTCCCGGGCTCAAAGGATCCTCCCAGTTTAGCCTCCCTAGTAGCTGGGACTACAGGTGCATGCCACCACACTGGCTAATTTTTTTCTGTATTTTTTATAGAGATGGGGTTCTGCCATGTTGCCCAGGCTGGTCTCGAACTCCTGGGCTCAAGTGATCTGCTGGCCTAGGCCTCCTGAAGTGCTGGGATTACAGATGTGAGCCACCATGACTGGCATTATGGTATTTTCAGGATGTAACGCCATCTTAAGTCGATAAGTGTCTGTATATCATTTCCACAAGCCCGCATCCAACCCTAGCCGGGGTAGTCAGTAGGTTTGTTTTGTGTATACCTCTAACTTGATGTGTAGTAAGAAACCTAGTGCTGAAGTTTGGAACAAGGTCTGAGACTTAAATGTTTATGTTCTGAGCATCATTTTTTTCTGTGTCCCTTTGAAATGCAACCAACTGGCCCCAAATTAAAAAAGATTATAATTCAGCAATCCTGTGGTACCCCAGAGATCCTCTGCTGCACTGAACTGGGCCCATGTAAACCTCTCTGCTTTGCTTCCTGGGTGTGGGCCCTTCACCAGATTGCCCTGGTTGTACTAGCTGGGTGTCTGTGTGGATCTAGGGCATCACCATGACCTTGCAGTGTCAAAGCTACTTCACCGTTATTAAGAGCTACTTTTTTTTTTTTTTAGAGATGGAGTTTTGCACTTGTTGCCCAGGTTGGAGTACAATGGCACGATCTCAGCTCATCACAACCTCTACCTCCCAGGTTCAAGCGATTCTCCTGCCTCAGCCTGGCGAGTAACTGGGATTACAGGCATGCACCACCATGCCCGGCTAATTTTGTATTTTTAGTAGAACGGGGTTTCTCCATGTTGATCAGGCTGGTCTCAAACTCCTGACTTCAGGTGATCCACCTGCCTCAGCCTCGCAAAGTGCTGGGTTGGGATTACAGGCATGAGCGATCGTGCCTGGCCCTAG